CACCAACCAAAACCAGCTGTACATATATACCATTTTCACTTTAAATCGGACACTTTTCAAACCAAATCGGACACTTTTCAAACCAAATCGGACACTTTTCAAATCAAATCGGACACACCCCTTACAATGGGCAGTTGAGAACTAGACCACACTAGGTACTGCTGCAAGCCCCGCCCAACACCCCCGCCCACTTCTTAGCGCGGCCGTGGTTTTCCAAATGTTTTATGAATTCTGCTTCTTCAATTTTTTTTCACTTTTGCTACTTGACACACACATTTAACTGAATAGGTTTGCTACCGACACATATATGACTCCGCCCACTTCACAATGAAGTGACGTAAGTTCTGAATTTTTATAACTTTTTTCGACGTTGTTTTTTCACATTCAATCTTCACAAAACGAATATAGTCATGCATTTACACACTAGCACACTAAGCCCCGCCCCTCTGACCACGCCCACTTTCGTTTTTCGCGGAATTTTGATTTTTCTTCCGAATTTTCACTTTTTAGGCTGTGACAAGCGGCCCCGCCCACTAATGGAAGCTCCGCCCACTTTGTAGAAGCCCCGCCCACTTTTCAAAATGATGCAGATCGGCGAGCTAGTGACCGTACTAGCAGGTTATGGCCTCTCCCGTCACATAGAATGAAAAATGGAGAGACCAGGAAAAAAAGGAAACTCCGGGTGAGAGGCCATTACCTACCAGTACGGCCAGTAGCTCGCCGATCTGCAACATTTTTGAAAAGTGAGCGAGGCTTCTACAAAGTGGGCGGAGCTTCCATTAGTGGGCGGGCCGCTTACAGCTAAAAAAAGTTATAATTTGGGAGGAAAGTCAAAATTCCGCGAAAAACGAAAGTGGGCGTGGTCAGAGGGGCGGGGCTTAGTGTGCTAGTGTGTAAATGCATGACTATATTCGTTCTGTGAAGATTGAATAAAAAACAACGTCGAAAAAAGTTATAAAAATTCAGAACTTACGTCACTTCATTGTGAAGTGGGCGGAGTCATATATGTGTCGGTAGCAAACCTATTCAGTTGAATGTGTGTGTCAAGTAGCAAAAGTGAAAAAAATTCGAAGAAGCAGAATTCATAAAACATTTGGAAAACCACGGCCGCGCTAAGAAGTGGGCGGGGTGTTGGGGCGGGGCTTGCAGCAGTACCTAGTGTGGTCTAGTTCTCAACTGCCCATTGTAAGGGGTGTGTCCGATTTGATTTGAAAAGTGTCCGATTTGATTTGAAAAGTGTCCGATTTGGTTTGAAAAGTGTCCGATTTGGTTTGAAAAGTGTCCGATTTAAAGTGAAAATGGTATAAAACGCCGCGCCGCGTGTGAACCCATTCCATGTGTCTTGAAAGTATCCCCAATGACTGCGACAGTATAAGCTGTATGAGTTGGGCCAAACAAACAAAAGAAATCAAAGTTGTGAACAACAAATACTGAAACGCATAAATACTGGCACGCAGAAGTTGTGCATGGCTTATTTAACTCACTCACTTACTACCACGAAATTGGATGAGAGGAAAGTGCAACAGCGAAACTGAGCCTTTGATACTACGCTGACTCACGGTCTCGCCAGGTACTAAATGCGTGGGCTCAAACTTCTCGAAGATAAGCTGAGTCCCCCCCCCCTGTAGTGGGACTCAAAGAGCCTACGTACGAGAAAATAGCACGTGAAACAGACGCAGCAGCACGGAGGGAAGGCAGGAGAGAACCCAACCTGACTATGCCTCAAGCTCACCGTTGCTTTCGACTTCGCCCCCATATTCGCCTGACTATAGCATGTATAAGTTCTGTGGCACGCTAAAATTCTCTTGAAGATTTAAGTGGAATTCTGGATGCTAATCACCCCAGAACAAGCACATCAAAACTGTTGCAAGGGACTCATTTGCGGTAAAACTCAGCAACTAGGGTAACTTGGTATCTACGCTGCTACGCCCCTGAGTCCCATCCAAAAAAATGCCAACTCTGTTTTACCGCAATGGCTACTTAAGGAAGTCCTTATGGAACGTGTTCCGCATTACCAGGAAAATAACTGCACACTTCGATATCAGGTTACCCCAGTTGCTGAGTTTCGCCGCAAATGAGTCACTTGCAACAATTTCGATGTGCTTGTTTTGGGGAATGATTAGAATTCAGAGTTGCACGAAAATCTTCAAGAGACTTTGAGACTGCCCCAGAACATATGTACACGCTATGCCTCAAAATTATTCGCAATTATTGAAATACACATAGTTCGTAACATCGCAGTTTGTCCGGGACGGCGTTTGGGGGGGATAGGGGGTGTGAGCGGCTTTGCTTTTCTGATAGTAATAGAGTGGTGATCAGTTTAAGAAGAAAACCACTGGTGGTGCCGCAGCTGGGGATCGACCGAATACGATGCAAGTGATTATGTTGGTATCTACTGAACAACTGCATTTTGAACAACGAACGTGAACGTATGAGGAATAACCATTTATTTCGTGATAAAATTCTCTGTAATATATGAAACAACACTACGTTTCACTTTTCACCGAGTTATTTTGAAGTTTGTGAGGTGGCGTTTCCTTTTCCGCTGCCAATTCTCAAAATCTTTTTCAGACAGCGCACGTCGGAAGTGGTCGACAACTGGAAGTAATACGTTACGAAAATGTTGGGTTTTTTTAATAAAGTAAAACTTACTGTCAATGCCGCTATTACTGACGATTACGTGTGGTTGCTGTGTACAGTTGGAGCTGCCGTGGTTGTTAAATGAGGTCCTTCTGGTGATTGGAGATGCTCGTGTCTAAAGTGATCAAAGTCTTGCAAAGACAGGCTGCCGTATAGAATGCGCCAGACTCACCTTCTCGTCATCGACTTTTGATCGCCTTGGCCATTTACCGCTTAACGATCGTCGGAAGTGTTCGTGGACATCGTGTTCCCGACTCGATGACACAGAAGACGCACTCCTCCGAACTGGTGGATGTCGCACTGCAAATAGAATTTCTAACTTATTTTCTACAAAAACAGCTCCTTCCTTCATGCAAACTCCCAACATGTACGCCAACGAGAAGATCAGCCATCAAAAGATGAATTTCGAAATTTTTCAATGTGTTGTAGGTGTATACGAAGAAAAAGTAAACGTCAATAACCCGGAACCACTAGACTGTTAAGTGCTGTGGGAATCCTGTTGAACATATTAGTTTGTGATACAACACATGAGCTACCACAAGTTGCCCTGGAAGGGCAGATCATCGCGCTGTGTTTACATTAAGCTAGAAACGATCCCCTTCCTCATACTTCCCTCTTCAATATGACCACTTTGACAGCCTACCAGCCAACAAGTTTTCTTCAAAAATTGCCGTGATGCGAGAGGGGTAGACGTCCATCAACTATCAAACAACACCACCACAAAACTGCCTTGCTGCAAAGTAATACTTCTACGTGTATAGTGATCAAGAGAAAAAATTACGGATGAGAATTTTTTGACTCAAAATATACCTCGTCCCGTACTGCTTTGTAGAACGATGATATGCCCTGGCTCGGGGATGGGTGGTCCAAGTCATTCATAATGAAATGTTACTGCTAGTTTGAAGGTCTTGAGTGCTTTCCACCAATACTTCTGACAAGAATGAAGTAGCGCCTACTACAGCAGCAACACCTGTTGAGCGTTGCTTGATAAGGCTGCCGTTTCACCGCATACGACTAAACAGTGATCTTCGTTGCACAATCCTTTTGCGGTCCCATCAGGCTAAACTACCTCGTGGTAGTTGCAGTGTTTGTCGTGGAGCTCTGCATCTCAAAATGAGGGAGGGAGTGCAAAGAGCAGCTAAGGAGGCTGCACAAAGGACATGGTACGTGATGCTGCTCTTTTGCATGCTGTCCTGTCTGGTGTGCCGCACAAAATTCCAACTAATTCCGAGCCTCATTTGTAGAGAGAAGTGTTCCATTTGCGGCCCTTTCGACAGCTACTTTGTCTTTGCAATTCAGCTGGTACATACATATACTTTCGTTTCTCAACCACATCATCTTCAAACTCCTGGTTTTATCGGGAAATCTGCATGTGTTGCAAAGGTATGCGAGCAGCAGCAACATTTTCGCGTTTTGACGGCACTCCAGAGAGCTGCCATGGACGTCGGGACGTTTTTCAACTCCTATCACAGCTCTGCTGACTATGGACTCCTTCAAATGCAACCCTTCCATTGCTGAAGATTTCTCATTCCTTGACTCTGTCTCTACAGAATGCTCCTTTACGCTTACATGGAGCAGTCGGACCAGTCAAAATAAAATTCGCACAGATGTGAGTCCCGAAGTAGGTGAAACAAAAGCTCATGCAGTTGGTTGATCTACTTGGTTGTTGGGGATATTTGAATAGTATGATTGCAAAAATAAATTAAATGCAAATTAAAGGATTTTGTTTCCTCATAGTAAGAAGTTTTTTTCAGATTAGAAACTGTTCAGAATAGTTTTACAAGAAAGGATCTAATCCTCGGTTTAAGTTTCAGCGACAGTGTTATTTTTAGAGGCATTATAAGAAATAGTATCCTTATTATTGATTCTCTTCCTCGCAGAAGGAAGAGGATCCACCCACTCACTGTATTCAAAAATCTCGCTGGCAGTCTACCGATGATATTCAAGGTTTCTTCACTCTTCTTCCGCCCAATACTATAGGAGACTACTTTCAGGTCTTCATTCCTGAAGCTAATTGTAAGACTAGCATTGGAGCTAAGTTCGTTTCCCCGCGGGCCGCTACAGAAGTTGCTAAAGCACACCAAACCATGTAAGCACACCAAACCGTTTTCTATGCCCAGAGGCCTAGCTCACCTGAATCTTGCGGAAGTATCACGCTTGACGGCTTTAATGCTCCCTTACTCAAGATGGATAGTGATCCACTCAAGGCTGATCAGAGTAAGCTGTTGAGCTTTAATGATTAATTATCTGTTTGTCCTCTTCTTAGATGTTTCCTCTTACCGTTGGTGTTTGTTTACATGTTATGTTTTGAATTAGCTATTTTTGGTTGTTGAGTTTATCCTACGGGATCTCATGTACTGGTACAGTAATAAATAAATTAATAAGTCAATAGGTAAAGAATTTCAAGAAATCTCACCTGTGGGGCTTTCAATTATCACACTGGGTCGCGAAGTTGTTGGTGAATATAAGGACGTAGAACTTTTCAAAGAAAGGTCTAACGGCTGAAAAGAGAACGTCTCATTTGAGGGTTATACCGGTCTCATTCTTAGGCTAATGGGAGGAAGTAAGCAAATTTGATTAAAATTTAAATGACCTCGTCACTTTGCTCAGGCTCGGCGTCACGTATTGAGACTTGCTTTGTGGAATGAGACAAACCGATAACATCCACGTCTGAGTCAACGGTCTGCAATTTCAGCTAATTCTGATTAGTTGCTAAATAAGCACACGCAATCTACCAGCATCACTGGCTTTCCAAGTTTATTGAACATTGCGAAAGAATGGGATATAGAGGAGGGAAAGAATAAGCAAATAGGACATAAAGCGCGCTGCACTTGAGTCTGGAAACTGCCTCAATTCCATTATGGTCATGTATAAACTGCTACAGTTATCTGTTGAGTAGGACTCCCTCCTTGTGAAAGCAGCCCAATCTCAGAAGTTATCCCACTTTTTCGACTCAACAATAAGTGACGAGGATGCTGCGATTATCGTTTTCCGAAGGAACGCCACCCGTAGACGTCGCCTTGTTCATGTGCGGACGATGTATGCCAGCGATCCTGCTTAGGGTAAAGTCTCCGCTTTGAACAATCCTTTTTGGGATGCGGCACGCATTCTACTTCCATTCAGAATCGTAGTGGCTTATTGAATGCGATGTGGCCTATACAATGACTTGCGGGGCCAGCCGATGTACAAGTCAGTGTTTTATCCTAACAGACGAATCTTGCACCAGTTTACCATTCCCGGAGTGTAAAAGGCTTTGTTGGCGTAGGCAAGAGCCGATCCAGAATTTGACCTCCGAACCGTGCGCGTGGTTAGCGTGCCACTTGCCACCACACTACCTTCACCTCAATCCTACTTCTATAAACAGGTATTTCCCGTTGAGCTCATTTTGTGCGAGCGACATTGTCGTTTCGCTCGCTTTCCAGCTCATCTCCCCTTTCTCTCACACTTTTTCCTAACAGGTTCAACACTGCATCCCTTCTTCGAATACACTCCAAATCCCTGATGTAGTAGGCGTGGCTGCGTACTTCAACCAAACGTGACGGTGGCTCGCTCTTGTTGGATTCTTTTGATTATTTTGTCTACTTTTTTTTAGTGACTGGTTAACCATTAGCTTCCAGGAGTTCATGTTTGTACCCACAACGCGCAGAATTGTGGTCGTGGATGCGAAAGCTGCTACAAAATCTGCACATGCACACTTTATCTGGAGGTGAGACTTGTGTGGCTTCGAGCAAAGCTGGTAGGAACGTTCGCTGAGGGTTTTGAAAGCAAAAATTCATATCGAAATGTTCTCACCGTTGAAGTGCTATGCATGTCGAACAGAGGATGTATGTTATGATAAGGACGATGATGATTAATGGAATGGTACGGTGGTGGTGGTGAAATCACTGTGGCAGTTGGAATTGTGCATGACAGCAATGAACACGTGAGTGATGAAGTCAAATCAGCCACTGAAATTCTTGCGGATGATTTCACAATTTAAACAGAATAATTTGAGACTGAATAAATGAAAAAATAATTTGATATCGAATTAATGCACAAAGGGAATTCAAGAAAACCGTCTCCCGCTGAAGGCAGTACCCTCGGCATCCTATCTTGTACGCAGTCTGATCCGCTG